TTTTGGTACCAGGGATCAAGACCTTGCACTTGCAAGGCGGGCTGGGGAACCACTGAGCTAAATCCCTGGCAAGTTTATCTTTTTCATGGCAGAGTAGTACTCCATTATGAATAAATACTACATTTTCTTTATTCATTCATCTGTTGATGGACATCTTCCAAGATTTAGCTATTATGAATTGTGCTGCCAGAAACAAGGGTATGTATGTATCATTGTAATATGATGTCTTTATTTCAGGAAGATACCCAGAAGGGGAATAGCTGGGTCAAATGCAATTTCTAGTTTTAGTTTTTTGAGAAATCTCCATAAGAAAGCTAGTTTTTAAATTTAAACTATTCTAGTAAAAGACTCATTACCATAAATCCTCCCTTAAAGTACTGTCCCTCACTTCAGACATACTTTCTTGCCAGTTTGTGAAGCAGTTCTGGAGTCCTCCTTCATGAGTGTTGATAATTGTGCTTGGGGCCCGGGATTTAGCTCAGTGGTTCCACCGCCTGCCTCGAAAGCTCAAGGACCCGAGTTCGATCTCCGGTACCAAAAAAAAAAAAAAAGATAATTGTGTGGCTTCCACATCATGAATTGATTCAAAACATTTACCTTTCATGGTCATTCTGAGTTTGGGGGAGAGCCAGAAGTCTCACAGCACCAGATCCAGTGAATAAGGTAGAGGAGGACACACTGTAATATTTTTATTTGAAGAAATGTTCGTAACAGTTTGATCAACAAGGGATGATCAAACAATATGGTTAATGTTTTAGTTTAAAAAAATTATTGCAAGATACACTGCAACTAATACCCCTCAAAATGCCCAAAATATTCCCCTTTACTTAGAATACACTTATCCCATCATTCTTAACAATGTATCTTTTACTGTAATAAAATTTTTTAACTTAGACAATAACTGTATTTTTTTATCACCCTTTGTATTGTTACTTGTATAGTTTTAAAACTTGAATTTCTGTTTCAGAAGTAGTTTTCACTATGTTTATATAAGGATTGGCCATTATGCTTTTATTATTGAAAAGTCAAATTACTTTTTTTTTTTTTTTTGAGACAGGTTCTTTCTATGTAGTCCAGCCTGGACTTAAACTTGTAATCTTTCTCCCTCAGCCTCCCAAGTGCTGGGATTACAGACACGTTCTATACCATGCCCAGCTAGTAATTTTCTTCAACATGTGAAGCAGACTCTACTCTAAAATTCTTTGATTACACTGTATAATGTAACATTTAATTGCATCCATTTCAGTTCTCTCTTTGTGTATTTGTTTTGATAGTGTTCCCCTTACTTGCTTACAAACATTTAAATATAAAAAAGTAAACAAGACCCAGAGCCATTAAGGTTTTTTGGGGGTTTTTTGGTACTGGGGATCGAACTCCGAACCTTGCACTTGCAAGGCAGGCGGCAGCACCACTGAGATAAATCCCTGGCCCCTATTGAGGTCTTTTTATAATAGTAGATGCCTGCTAGTTGAAGTTTAGAAATTAATCCAAATTTCACATACAGCATTTAACATTCCCTAAATTTCTTGGCATAATCTTAAGATTTTTTTTTTTGTACTCAGGATTGAACTTGGGACCTTGTGCTTGCTAGGCAGGCAGCAGAACCACTGAGCTAAATCACCAGCCTGGCATAACCTAAGATTTTAAGAAAATGTAACAAAAATAATGTAATCAAATCAGGTGACTCTTTGGGTAATGAAACCAAATATACAATAAGGCTTTAAACCATTTTTAAAACCTTATAATGAACACTTACGCTCAACCTTTTGATATAAATGGGCATTGTGTTATGCATTTATAGAGGGAACTGAGGCTTTAAGTTAATACCTAGTAGTAGAAAGGGAGGAAACTAATGTTTTGAGTGCCAAATGAACCAAGCACTTTATTTGGTGTTTTTCTGAAGTACCTTATTTTGTATAAGTAGATCATTTCCTGACAGTAAATTTGATCAAGCTACTGGAGCATTATGTAACTAAACATAATATGTCTTCATATTACCCATTTTGCATTTTTTGTTTATTATCTTCATTCAATTGTTTGTTCACTCCATTTTTTTAAATAATCAGAATGACTAACATTTTGTTTTTTATCATTGAATAATCACTTTCTACAGAAGCTAATCCATGGTTATGATTAATGATCTTGAGCTTATGTCTTTGTTTTTTAGATTCCTGAATTTGACAACTTGTACCTGGATATGAATGGAATTATACATCAGTGCTCTCATCCTAATGATGATGATGTCCACTTTAGAATTTCAGATGACAAAATCTTTACTGACATTTTTCACTACTTGGAGGTGTTGTTTCGCATTATTAAACCTAGGAAAGTGTTCTTTATGGCTGTTGATGGTGTAGCTCCTCGAGCAAAAATGAATCAACAGCGTGGGAGGCGTTTTAGGTAAAACATTTAAAGACAACGTAACAACATATCTTCTGGTCATGTTTATTTTCTGTTTAAATTCCCCTAAAAATGGAAATATCTCCTACTCATAATGTTATATTTTACCAGTCAAGAAGGAGGAAATACAAAAATATATAATTTTATAATTGTGTTTTATATAATATTCTTAGAGATCATTGAGATATTTAAGATCATAAAATGATAGAGATCATTAAATAATATACATATAATGTATAAAGCTTTACAGGGGTTTTGATTTTTGTTTCTGGCTTAAATTTGACGTCTATTTGTGATACGAATTATTTTGAAAGTGCTTACAATGTTTTGGGTGTTTTTTACTGTCTTGATATCCAAGTTCCTCTAGTCCTTATATGAAAAATTCAGTTCTTTTATAAAAACAAAGAAATCTGAGTCTTTTTATCAGTTACATTATTTCAAAACTTAAATATTGATGAATTAATATTTAATTAAAAGATCTAAATAGCAGTTTATGGAAAGGTAATTACTTTTTTTTTTTTCAGAAAGATTAAGGTTTTTTTGTTTTGTTTTATTTTCTTTACCTGTAAGGTCAGCCAAGGAGGCAGAAGACAAAATTAAAAAGGCAATTGAAAAGGGGGAAACTCTTCCTACAGAGGCCAGGTTTGATTCCAACTGTATTACACCAGGTAAATTCACTGAGAAAAAAAATTCTGAAAGAATTAAAATTAATTTGAAAATTTATTGTTTCAAATGCATTTTTATTTAGTAGACTTTAGGTCCTGCTAGTTTGGCCACATTAGTTACAAGTGTCCCATGAAGTCCCAGTATAGGATTTTCAGATATTGAAAATATCTGAAAAATATGGTCAGGACTCTCCAAGTACATAGAATTGCAGACCTAGAACTTACAAGATCTTTCAGTTTGCCTCCTACCACTTACTGGTATGAAACAGCCTCAGTGAGGTTGTGATTTACCGATTTTGTATAGCTTACTTGTGGTTTCAGGAGAAGAAACCCATTCTCCTAATCCACCTGTCATAGGTAGTTAAGATTTCTGTGACTTTAAGGAAAATAAATATAGTACATATATCAGTAATATATTTAACAAGTTCATGACGGGGCCACAATTTGTATGTCTTGTTGCCAGGTGGCTTGAATCACCAGTGGTACATGCATGACTGTCCCATGCATAACTATCCCACTTCTTCCACCAGTGGTACAAGCTGACTGATGGGACAGTCATGCGTGTACCACTGGTGATAACAAGCTACCTGATTGGACAGCCATGCATATATCACCAGTGGTTTAAGCCAGGAGAACGTGTTAATTTAATTGTATAAACAGCAGCATACTCTGTACTCTTAAGGAGCTTTTTCTACCATCATTATATTCCTTTACTTTGAACAAACATCTTGAAGTATAACTTTCTCATGAATTCTTTATTAGCAATAGTAATTTTCTCTTTTGCTCTGTGCCTTTGATACACATTACTCAATTTAATAACCAGTTTTATTCCGATTATAGTTTTAAGATTGTGTTGCCTTTGGCTATTATCATATGTGATTTTCCTAAAACAAAATCATTGTAAACTCAATTTTCAAATCAGTAATTTTCAGATTAATAATAGTAATGTTGTCATTATAATTATTGGCAGTCTAATTGAAGCTGCATGTCTTACAAAAATACTACAGAGTTCAGCAAAAGAAGATTGAGGTTCATTAGAGTCTAAACTTTGCTCTTTATAGTATGTAAAAATATGTGAACCACAATTGTTAGACAGCAGTAAAATTCCTGACTTTCCCTTGTTGACACTGACTTCATTTAGGATAACTAATGGTATTTGAAACAGGATATTTGCTAGGGAATGGTCCAACATTTCTTGCTTTTAGAGTAAGCAAGAGCACTTTTGACCTTTTTTCAAAGATACTATCTATACTTACCTACTTCCTGGATAGTCAGAGCCAATTGTTATGTTGTCATTGAGAACTCATTGTTTTTATGTCTTTCTCAGATTCACTTTTTAAAACTTTTTTGTTTATAGGGACTGAATTCATGGCCAGGTTACATGAACATCTGAAGTATTTTGTAAATGTGAAAATTTCCACAGACAAGTCATGGCAAGGAGTTACCATCTACTTCTCAGGCCATGAGGTTATCATCTTTTTTTATTTTGAAGAATTTTTAAAAATTTATTTAAAGCATATTTATTTGAAGCATAGCATATTACCATACTTTTTAAAAACATTGTATTTAGACTCCCGGAGAAGGAGAACATAAAATCATGGAATTTATCAGATCTGAAAAAGCAAAGCCAGATCATGACCCAAACACCAGACACTGTCTTTATGGTCTAGATGCTGACTTGGTAGGTATAATATTTATTGTTATGTAAGATTATGCCATTATAAGTAAATATCTAAGAGATTTAATTTTATACAGGAATCTTACTGGCTATGACAACAAATATAGAAGACATAATAATTATTGCTACTTTTGCCCTTACCAAAGTTCTAAAACAGTTGGGAAAATAAGGGTTTTTGGTTTTGGTTTTTGCCATCTTTATGATCAACTGGTCTCCATATTTTATAAATATGACTAACCCTACTGCTGCAAGTATTCTTCTGAAGTCATGGAAGGGGACTTTTTGGGGGGGGGGTTAATTAAGAAAGTTTGGGAAATTATAGAGAAGAGGGGTAAGAAGGGACAAAATGGCAGTTATAAAGGTCATGGCATTCAAAGTTAAACATGTTTTTCCTAGAAAATTACATTCACTTTATCTCATTCATATTCTACAAATGGGTCATATTTTTGTATTTATATGTTTAATGTACTAATTATTCTGTGTAGAAATATTTCTGATAGCTTTTGTGAATCTGATACAGTAAGCAGTGGGAGAAAAGAAACATTTCATAATCATTTTTCCACAGATCATGCTTGGATTAACAAGTCACGAGGCACATTTTTCTCTTTTAAGAGAAGAAGTTCGATTTGGTGGCAAAAAAACACAGAGGTAAATCATACAGTGTACAAGTTGAGCCAAAGAACAGAAATTAAGCCCTTTGGCTATCATGACTTTCCTTACAGTAGCAGGCCCTGCTTTCTTCAGGGTCTCCTTTTATCTTGCTTTTTTCTCCTTTTACTTAGCCCAAGCTCACTCTGAAGAGCAAGTTTCTCCTCCACTCTTCACTTTTACTTTTTGAATAAATTTTGCCAGTACTTAAAAAAAAAAAGCCTCCTAGCAGATACATAGTCTGCAAATATTTTCTCTCAATTCACTGAGGGTCTTTTCACTCTGTAGATAGCGTCCTTTAATACACAAAAGTTGTTGATTTTGATATATTCCAGCTGTCTGCATTTTTAGTATAATATCCAAGAAATCTTTGCTAAATCCATTGTTGTAAAGCTAGTGTCTCCTATGTTTTATTCTAAGAGTTTTCGTTTTTATTCTTGGGAAAGTTTTGGTTGTTTTGTTTTGTTTTACTTTGCTTTTGTTTGCAACATCTGGATCAAACCCAGAGGGTTTCACAAGCTAGGCAAGCACTCTACCATTGAGCTATATCCCAAGCCCTATGTTTTATAGTTTTAATTTTTATATTTAGGTCTTTGCTCCATTTTGTTTTGTTTTTTGGTACCGGGGATCGAACTCGGGTCCTTGCGCTTGCACAGCAGGCGGTGAAACCACTGAGCTAAATCCCCGGCCCCTTTGCTCCATTTTGAGTTAACTTTTGTATGTGGTATAAGGTAAGAGTCCAACTCCATTCTTTTGCATGTGGATATTTGATTTGCCTAGTACTATTTGTTGAAAAGACTTTTCCTATTAACCAAGCATGGTGGCACATGCCTGTAATCCCAGTACTCCAGGAGCCAGAAGGATCACCATAAGTTTGAGGCCAGCCTGAACTGAACTACCCAGTGAGTTCAAGGCCAAGCTGAACTACATAGTGAGACCCTATCTCAAAAAGAAAAAAAAAACAAACTTCCTGTTGAACGTCTTGGTACCTTAGTTGAAAATCATTTGATCATATATACAAGGTTTTATTTCTTACACTCAGTATTCTGTTCCATTGATCTGTAGTAGTGGTGGCAAACTTATGGCACACATGCCACAGCAAGCTGTTTGTATCATTGAAAACTCTAAAAGGTTTACCATCACTAATCTATAGCCCATCTTCATGCCAGTAACAGTGTTTTGATTCAACAGTGTAGCTTCGTACTGTGTTGAAATCAGGAAGAATGAGACCTCCCTTTTTTCTCCCAAGATTGTTTTGTCTCTTTGGAATCTTTTGAAATTACGAGTCCGGGGATTTAGCTCAGTGGCAACGCACCTGCCTCAAAAGCACAAGGTCCTGAGTTCAATCCCCGATACCGAAAAAAGAAAAGAAATTGCATATGATTTTTAGGATAGATTTCTCTGTTTTTGTGAAAAATATCATTGGGATTTTGATAGGAATTACCTTGAATTTGTAGATCCCATTGGGCATCTTGATCATAAGTATTCCAATCCATGAACACCAGATGTCTTTCCATTATGGCATCTCCTTTTCTTGCTATAACATTTTGTAGTTTTCAGTTAAAAATAAAATCATTTATTTCTTTTTAGGGGCCGGGGATTTAGCTCAGTGGTTCCGCCGCTTGCCTCGCAAGTGCAAGGTCCCGAGTTCGATCTCCGGTACAAAAAATAATAATAATAATAAAATGAAATAAAATAATTTCTTTTTAGACTGTTCTTTGATGGTGTACGGAAATACAACTGATTTTTGAGTATTGATCATGTACCCTAAGATAGGCTGAATTACTTCTTTAGCCCTTAGAATTTTTTTTGGATTCTATAAAATTTCTATACAATGAGTCATGCCATCTGTAAATAGATAGAGTTTTACTTCTTCCTTTTCAGTTTCTTTTCTTTTTTCTGCCTAATTACTCTGCTAGGACTTTCAGAATAGTGTTGAATAGCTGTGGGATTTTTGTTTTGGTTTTACTTTTTTGCAGTGCTAGGGATCAAAACTAGGGCTATGCTAGGCAATTGCTGTGTAGCTGAGTTACAGTCTCACTCCATCCCTACCTTTTTTGTTGGTTTTTTGAGATTCTGCCTTCTCACTGTGTTGCAAAGCTCAGAATCAAGAGTAGCTGGGGTTGCAGGTATGCACGCACCACTGTGCCCTCCTAGCAGTAGTGTTTTGAAGAGCTTTGATGAAGTAGGCATCCTTGTCACTTTCCTGATCTCAGAAGAAAAACTTTCACTGTTGAATATAAACTTTGGATTTTATCATATTAAATAAATTAACCATAACTTTAACCATAGTTTCTCACTATAGTCCAGGCTGGCCTCACACTCGAAACAATCTTCATGCCTCAGCCTCCCGAGTGCTGAAATTACAGGCATGCACCACCACGCCTGGCCTTGCCAGATATTTTTATCACAGGCAGGTGTTGAATATTGTTAGATGCTTTTTCTACAAAATTACCATGTGATATTTTTTTTCCCTTCATTCTTTTATTGTAATATATTACATTGATTAATTTACTTATGTTGAATTACATTTCTTGGGATAAATCTTGTTTGTGAATGTATATAATCTGTTCAATATGCTTTTGTCTTCTCATATTTTACTTATAGTTAAACTTTGAGTACAGATCAATAATCAGGAATATAGAACCCTATACCAGTCCAGATAAGAGGAACAAGTAATATTGCATCACTACTGTGGCCCTGGACTATATTCCAATAAATATAAAGATAATGTACTCACTCATCTGTGTGCTTCTGCTAAAAGGCCAGCCTTACATAGATCCCACTGGTTTCTTACATTTATTATATTTTATTTAGGGCTTCTGAATTCTGAGAGTCCTCGCCTCAAAAGTATAATATAAACCAATTCTTTTGAATTTACCATGTTTCATCTATTATAATTGCATTTTACCTTTATATTATGCTGTAACTTTATATAAAGTACATGCCTCAATTACACAACTTAATTATCTCCTAATGACCTTAAAAATATAATTCACTCCCTTTTGATCATCTGATTAATTACAGGGTGTGTGCACCAGAAGAAACCACATTTCACCTCCTACATTTGTCATTAATGAGAGAGTATATTGACTACGAGTTTTCAGTATTAAAAGTAAGTACTAATATGGCCGTGGACCAAGATTTTGTATTCAGAAATTTCCACAGGATTTTACTGTTTCTCCATTTTGCCACAGGAAAATATTACATTTAAATATGATATTGAAAGAATTATAGATGATTGGATTTTGATGGGATTTCTTGTTGGCAATGATTTTATCCCTCATCTACCTCATTTACATATTAATCATGATGCGCTGCCTCTTCTTTATGGAACATATATTACCATCCTGCCCGAACTTGGAGGTAAGAAAACTTTAATATGTATTTGAGGCCACTTAAATTTAGTACTGACTTACCCTAAATATGTCACTTTATTAGATTATTACAGGCACAACTAAAGTAGGTGAATAGTGGGGGGTTCTTTCAGGCTAAAGTGCCAAACACTGATGTCATTTTCAATGATTCCCAAGAAAAGTAAGTGACTAAAGTTAAGTACCCTCACTTATTGATATTTAACTAGTCTTTATCTTTAATTCCCTAAAGAAAGCCAGCAGAATTTGATTACACTTAACTCCTTTCATATGTTCAGTGTAGAAATTCAGTTGTTAATGGATATGTATCATATTTTTTAGTATGAACAAAGGAATTCAATTAAAATAGAAAATTGATAAGCAATAGTGAGACTGCATAAAACAGACAACAGAGTATCAGGACATTAGTGTTTTTCTTAAGTTTACATATTAAATTGAATGATCTGGATAGATTCTAGAATATCGTTTAATTTTTACCAAATATTGTTGGAAATGTGAGATTATTATGTAAACCTGGAATTTCTTATATTTTGCTTCAGAATGTACATATTGTGTATTATAGTAATATAAGGCTTTTAGAAACTAGGGCTAGTTTATATATAGCCTAACACTAAGTTTTTTCTTGATTAGTACAATGTTGACACTCAAAAATTTGTGGAAAGAATTTGGTGACTTGTTTAGGAAAAATATTATCAGCTTTTAGTAAAAATTTGGGTTTTGCTCCTTGTAGGTTATATTAATGAAAGTGGACATCTCAATTTACCTCGATTTGAAAAATACCTTGTGAAACTATCTGATGTAAGTAACCATAAGTTTTTGTTTTACTTTTCTCAGGTCAATACAAATGGTCAGTAACCAATTAAATAATGCCAGAAGAAAAAAGGGTTCCCAATTTTATTCTGCCTACTTATTCGGTATACCTTTACCTAAATGAATTATATTTTTTATTTGTTTTTTATATTTAATTTTCTGAGTAAAAAATGAGATCCTTGTGTATATAAAAAAGTAATAGTCTGCAATCTCCTACGCTGCAGAAATAATCACTAGTAGAAGTTTGATTTGTATTCTTCCAGGTATATTTAAGTCATTTTTAAGTGAGTTTAATGGTTTTTGTACAGTTTGATCGGGAGCACTTCAGTGAAGTTTTTGTGGACCTAAAGTGGTTTGAAAGCAAAGTTGGTAACAAGTATCTCAATGAAGCAGCAGGTATCGCAGCTGAAGAAGCCAAGAACTACAAGGAAAAGAAAAAATCAAAGGTGTCCATTTTTTTAGATGTCCTTTCATTTTTTTACCTGTAAAGGTAAAACTGATATTCCTTGTTTCTCATTTTCCTTCTTTTGATTTTGGGTTACCTCATTCCATTTTCATTTCTTCTTTTCTATAAGCATCTAAAAATTGTTTTGGTTTCTTTATCCTCTACTAGAATCTGTCATTTAGATCTGATCCTTAAAAATCAGTTCCTGGGCCGGGGATTTAGCTCAGTGGTTTCATCACCTGCTGTGCAAGCGCAAGGACCTGAATTCGATCCCCGGTACCAAAAGAAAAAAAAAATCAGTTCCTTATTTTTACTCTTAAAGAGCATTATATTTTCTTTGCTCTTCCATCCTATTAATAAATATGGGAAACATTTCTAAATATAAGAGTTTAGAAAATTACTTTGTAAAAATGACCATTTAAACCATTTTATTTAAAAACAGTGGACCAAGAGTCAATTTTTTTTGTTATTATTGTTTTTTTGGTACTGGGGATTGAACTCAGGTCCTTGCGCTTGCAAGGCAGGCAGTGGAACCACTGAGCTAGATCCCCGCCCCCAAAAGACTAGTTTTTAAAATGTATATATTTATAGCATTTAATGGTATGAACCCTTAACTAGAACAGTGATTTTTCTCTAGAAATGATTTTTATATAGAATATAGCATAGGCTAGGTTAATAATCAATGATACAATATCCGGTAAATGTTTTTTGCTCAGTAAGTTAATGGCAGTATCAGAATATACTAGTGCCCTGTAAAACATTTCTGTTAAGCCCTAAAGAATGTCTTTATGTTAGCTTCAGAAAGAAACTTCTGAAAATTTCTTCAGCTTATCGATAATTAAGGGATCTGGGGCTAGGGATTTAGCTCAGTAGTGCCGCTGCCTGCCTTGCAAGTGCAAGGTCCTGAGTTTGATTCCCAGTACAAAAAAAAAAAAAGTAAATAATTAAGAGATCCTGATAAGTTTTCTGTACTTTACTGCACTGACTGATTCTATTTAGTTTCAAACCTAGTAACTCTTCCTTCAGGAGGGGGAACTACCCAGGTTTTCTTTAGCATTGTCTTTCCAGATACTTAGCTCTTTTATTGAAATTTAACCGCAGTCAGTCTATATTTCACCATGAGTTCGTTTTTTTCATTTTTTCCTCCTAAAAAAATGAGCTTTGCAACTTTTTGAGGACCTGTATGCATAAAATTTTATGTAGTAATCTGTGACTCCTGTACCTCAGCTTGATCCTTAAATATCACCAGTCTTCCTGACACATGTGGCTAACATTAGAGACATTGTACAGGAAAAGCCTTGGGCACATGAAGTTGGTAGAAGCCATAGGTTGGATGAGGAAAAGGAAATCGAGATGAAGTAGTAGTAAGAACTGAGAATCTCTAGTCTTAGCTAGGCAATCAAAAAACAGAGAAAAGAGTAAGATCACAGTGGTCAAAAAGAATTATAGAAAAGCAAATACAGAAATTTGCATAGAAAAAGAATGAAGGAGTAGAAGATAGAATAGTCTTAAGAATGTCAGAATTCTGAGTTGTAGAAAATAGATATTTGTAACTATTGAATTCAAGCATAAACAGATTGTATTGAGTAGCCCATATTTGACTTACAGCTATCCTAAAATTGATAAATGATTAAAGAATTTTATATTGATTATATACTTTTTTCTAAGTAAATGAGATATTCTTGGTTTATTCTTGGGACACATAATTAAATGTATTTTCATTTATATTGTGCTAATCACTTATTAAATATCTTTGAATAGCCTGAATTCTAACTTCTACTTTACCATTCATTTTATAACAGTTTATAATTTTTGTAGGGCCAGGAAAATTCTGTATGTTGGGCTGCTTTAGACAAAAGTGAAGGTGAAATGGTAGTTTCTAAGGGTAAGTACAAACTATTTTAATATGTTATTACTTTGACGGGATTGTTACACCTTTCCTTTATTAGTACTAATGTAGCATGTTGAAGGGGATAGATTCCTATCTTAATTTACAAGCATTAAATTTGATATGCATTTATCAAATCACTGAGTTGAAAAGAGGATATTCCTAATTGTTAATCACTATCTTTCTGGCTTTTTTTCCCAGATAATTTAGAAGATGAGACTGAAGATGATGATCTATTTGAAACCGAGTTTAGACAATACAAAAGAACATATTACATGACGAAGATGGGGGTTGATGTGGTATCTGAGTACGTTTTTGCCAATCTTTTTACTTTAAAAAGTGGAAAAAAGGGCCAGGGATTTAATTCAGTGGTTCCACCACCTGCTTTGCAAGCGCAAGGTCCCGAGTTTGATCCCCAGTACCAAAAAGCAAAACAAAAAGAATGGAAAAAAAATTGATTTTGCAGTTCTTCACAAAACAGCTTAATTTTGGCAAAACAGTGAGAAAGAAGGATTTTTTTGTTTTATAAATTATTATAGATTTCAACTAGTCTGATACAGTTTTGGAAAAAGTGATATTAATTCTGACATGTTATATTCCTATAGTAAACATTCCCAAATAGAAAATTTGTCCTTAAATAGAAGGATGTTTATTACAAAGTTATTTAAAATAGTAAAAAAATAGAAATATCTAAAGTGTCTGATAAAAGGATTCATCACAATCAGCCTCTGCCTCATTATCACAATTACCACCTGTCATCCACACGTCTTTTACAAAGTCCTACAGAACTGCTAAACTGTTAATTACAGAAAGTTCATAACAATTTGGAAAGATACACAAATTTTAAAGGCAGGACATAAAATCATATATATCTGTAGTATACTCTAATTAATACTTTAACAAAACCAGTATAGAAAAAAGACTGAAGCCAGTGTGGTAGTGTGCGTCTGCTACTTACAAGGCTGAAGTAGAAAGATAAAAGGATGGCTTGAGCCCAGAAATTCAAGATCAGCTTAGGCAACACAGTGAGGCCCCATCTAAAAAATCAAAAAGAAACAAAACCAAAGACTGAAAAGAAACATACCAAATGAATGGTGATTGCTATAAAGTGATAAAAGGAGCTTTTCTGAAAAGATACATACCAAAGTGAAGTGTTTGCTATAAGGTGTTAAAATATGCTTTTCTTCAATATCTAGGTTTCTAGTAATAGGGAAACTCTTGTTTTATAATAAGAAAGTAATAAATTTCATGTTTAAAATCATACCCACACAGAAATATGGAGATAAGAAATTTCTAAGTGACTACTTTTGGCAATAGGCTGGAGCTCATTTTGTTTTATTTAGTTTTGGTGATTTGAAGGTTTATTTTACCCAAACCTTAAATGATGGCATTGGAATTTTGACAAAGAAAGGATTAGAAGAAAATCCTGTTCGCAGATATGGCACTTTTCAGAGGGTAATCTAGTTGCTATACAGAGACTTCTAAGAACGTTGTGGTTTGCTCTCGTCCCATCCCCACTATTTAAGAAAGTGTTAGCATCACTTTATGGAAATCTTCATTGACTAAATCTTCAAATTTTAAACCAAAGATATAATACATTGACTGGTTAAATATGCATAGCGTGTCAGGCATGATGGCACACCGCTGTTATTCCCAGCTGCTAGAGAGGCTGAGATGGAAGGTTCACAGTGAAGTTCAAACCCAGAGCCTGGACAACTTAGCCAGACCATCTCAGAATTAAAAAAAAAAAAGTGTATGTAGCTCAATGGTAAAATACTCCTAGGTTCAATTTCCTGTACCACAAAAAGGAAAAAAGAAAAAAAAAAAGGACAGCAGGGCTGGGAGTTAGCTCAGTGGTTCCGCCGCCTGCCTCGCAGGTACAAGGTCCTGAGTTCAATCGCTGGTACCAAAAAAAAAAAAGACAGGCATTCTTAAAGAGAACATATGAATATGATGATATTGCACAAGTCTGTGTGATATCTTTAGCCATTAAAGTTGAAAGCTAAAGAAAAAAAAGGATACCAGGCTTAACTCTCTGTTGATACTTGATTTAGGAACACTATAAGGCGAACTTTTCATGTGAGAAGATGGAATTTTTAAATATTGTAGAGTTTTTCTGATTATAATTCTCAGAAATTATATAGTTTTTAGTTAATTTATTGATTAAACAAACTATGTGCGGTAAAATATGATATAGCTAGATATCCTCTAAAGACACTGGCCTAACTTCAAGAAACAATGTTGTAATGAAAATATTCCTATTTTCAGTGACTTTCTGGCTGATCAAGCTGTATGTTATGTTCAAGCGATACAGTGGATTTTGCACTATTACTATCATGGTGTTCAGTCCTGGAGTTGGTAAGAACATATCTTTGTATAATGGTTCAGTCTATAGGAATCTCATTCAGACATCTCTTTTCTTTCCTTTTATTTTTATTTATGGGAATTTTAAAAGATCTATACATCAAGTTTAAATAAAATATGGTAATCTGTTCTTACATGAAAATACTTAAAAACACTTTTCTAAGAAAATCTTATCTTTAGCAGATGATCCATTATAAAAGGTCTGTGTTAATCTAAGAACATAAAATTCTCTGTGGAGATAAATTAAGGCCAAGGATGTAGCTCAGTGTTAACATGGAAGACGCCCTGGGTTTGATCCCTAGCACCATAAAAAACAAAACAAAACAAAAATTAATCAAATAACTCTTAGGTCTGAATGACAGTTGTATGGAGGTATTGATTATATTTTCTACATTTTTGTGTTTGAAAAATATTCTCTAACAAGAGTAATCTTTAAAGAACGAGTGTTAAAGTGAAGAAAGGAGAAAAGAGTTACCCACTTTTACTGGAAATGGTAATAATTTACCATTTTTCTCATGCTCCATATTCTAGCAGATTCTATCTACATTTTTAAACCAGCCACCAAAATAAGAAAATGACAATTAAAAAGAAATCATGTTGTGAAGAGTAGAGACTTAAGTGATGACATGGTTCTGCTGGGCTCTATTTTTGGAACACTGTCCACCAATATAAACTAGTACAAAGTGATGTGGCATTAATTATGATTTCACTTACTAGCAGCCTTTTTTTTTTTGGTACCAGGGATCGAACTTGGGTCCTTGTGCTTGCGAGGCAGGCAGTGGAACCACTGAGCTAAATCCCCAGCCCAGATTTGCCATTTTTTAAGAGAGTTAACATAAGTTATTCCTATTGTATTACCAGGCATTAAGGCCAGGTCATTAAATGCATGTTCACATATAGTCTTCAAAACTATTTAAAGTAAACATTGTTTTCTCTCTGATACAGATGAAGAAATTAAGGCTCATAAAGGTTAAGGAAACTTGCTGTGACTGTATACCCAAGAATCAAGACCAAGCCAAAGTCTATATATCTGACATTATTCCCCATGCCATTCTGCCTCCTAAATTTTCCCATCCTTTTGAAATTTATGCCATAATTATGGAATATAAAATCATTCTCTTTTTCATATCCTGAGGAATTAAAACACTGAAAAAGTTTTAAATTGTGTGTTCAAAGTTTTATGAAAATATTTATGCCTACAGTCATAGATGATAATGTATTAAAACAAATTAATGTGTATGATTAAGACATGGTTTAATCTTTATTACAAATATAATATGCACACTGACTCAAAGACAAAAAGTCTTACAACTGACTAGTAATGGCCATATAAATTCAAACTTACTGTTCTTTGTTCTTCCCCCTGCCCTTGTAGCTAACTCAAGCTTTTCTCAGAATATTCAACTGCTCCAAGCCTTTTGCGTGGAGGTTACAGGGCCAAATGCCTGGACTGAAATTCCTCTGGCTACCTCATTACTATCCAGTCTCCTGGTTGAAAGATTAGCCATCAGTGTTTTGGGAGTTAATAGAAACAATACGTGGCTGAGGTATAGCATATTGGTAGAGTACTTGCCTAGCATGCTGGATTTCATTTCCAGCACCACAAAAAGAAAAAAAAAGCATCAGCATTACAAAGTTGGGCTTAGTGGCATGTGCCCGTAATCCCAGCACTGTGAGGCTGAGGCAGGAGGCTCTCTTGAGACCAAGAGTTTGAGACTATCCTGGGCAATTTAGCAAGAAGCCCCTGGTCACATCTCAAAAACAAGACAAAAAAGCATTATATTTATCCTGCAATTACTTGATACATCCAGTTTGATTTTTTGGGGTGGGTTTGTTTGTTTTTTAACAGTAGCAAAGTTTTATTAAAGGTAGGAAAAGAAACAGGCTTGGCAGAGCAAGTTTAGGCCAAGTAAAAGTAGGAAAAGAAGTACTGTAAACCTTATAGTGAGGGTGGGCCACCAAGGAAGTGAGAAGACAGTGCCTTACATCCAGTTTTAGAAATGTGAAACTGCACTTTAAAAAATTAAGGAAATATTGTGTTGGTTTCTATCATGAATCCATATTTTCTACACTGCTAATTTCTTATATTCAAAGGATAGAATTATGGGTGATGTTTAATTTTTCTTTAAAATTGTTGTGTGCTGTGAAATATAGAAAAACTAATACTGACCTGTATCATAAAAGTTACCAGTTGTCTAACATTCATTTTGTTTTACAGGTATTATCCCTATCATTATGCACCTTTCCTATCTGATATCCGAAATATCAGTACACTCAAAATCCATTTTGAACTAGGAAAACCTTTTAAGCCATTTGAGCAGCTTCTTGCTGTACTTCCAGCAGCTAGCAAAAATTTGCTTCCTGTATGCTACCAGGTGGGTTTTAGAACTGAATTTTCTTTTTTAGAAGTGAATGTTTTTATATCCTTTCTGATGTATGAGTTCTTTGTCCAAACCTAGAAACAATAGTACCTAAATTTATTTAACAGACAAATACATTTATTTTTAGTTCTAAATACAGTACATTTCTTTAACAAGCCCTTGAAAAGTAATTCCTTGATTTAAAGTTGGCTTTGTTTTAAAAATCCAAACAAACTCGATAAGCCATTCAGAGCCTCGCTGCTTCATTTATTGCCTTTAAGTGCATCTTTAATTTGTCTCTACATTGAAGAAGGTACACTAAAACAGACAAAGCTGGAAGCCATCTCTTCTGTCCACACAATTACAGGTTCATTCCTGTTCTCTTTTACCTTCTACCTATTAGACTAGAAAGATTCTAGTAAGTTATTTATCTTAACTTCAGTATCACCTCAGTATATATTTAAATTTAAGCATTTTCATTTATCAAATTGAAAGGCCCTTTTTGCTAAGATACAAGAAGAAGACAGAGTCACCAAAATTACACTAAACCTATTAAATAAATTATGAAAGTAAACTTAATTTAGTTCTTCTGAAATATCAATCTGTTCTTCTAATTCTGTGGTCTAATTCCAGGAATTGGAGTGGACACACACACACACACACCCCCTTATACACCCTTTGCTACTTTAACATTGTCAGGCTTTTTTCTGTGTCTTTCTGAACCTTAATCTCTCCTTTATCTTAACCTCTAGCCTCTCATTCTTTATAAGTTTAACACTTTTTTTTTCTTTCAAATATATTAAACTTTGATATTCGGCTACTATGGGCCAGTATGGCCACGTACATATATTACAACTACATCTGTTTTATTTGTTCAGAGCACATGCCATATGTTGTTAAGTTTTTGAGTATCACCTAGGAATATGCTGTTTTATTTAACAAAAATGTTATATCATAAGCTTCCATCATTTCCTTTTGCCTTCTTTCTGTTTATCATAGGGGCCTGGGATTTAGCTCAGTGGCACTGTGCCTGCCTTGCCAACAAGAGGTCCTGAGTTCGATCCCTGGTTCCACAAGAGAAAAAAAAAAACAAGAACCAAACAAAATCTCTAATAAAAATGTGTGTTGTTGGACTCTTTCTCTTTGATATTAATGATACAGTGATTCTTAGACTGTAGGAATTGGTTCGTGAAGTTAGGTTGTTAATTTGAGGTTTAAAGGGCAGACTGTAATACATTTGTGAAATGAACTGAAGATGTGAATAAGAAAATAGTGTTTAAGTGTCTTTATAGAGTAAAAAGACAAAAACCACAAATGACAAAAATTAATGTTCAGAATAAAGGTAGTTTTGCTACATAACTAGGTTAATGAAACTGAAAAGTAGCAATGAAATTCTTAAAGTTGAAAATAAAAATATAGCATGTATGTTGCAACATATCTAAAATACAAAAATTTCATTTTCTTAGAAATTTTAAAGTATAACATAAGGAAATATAAATACATTAATAAGCTATATTGATAATTGTTTTTATATTTCTATTACACTATTTTATATTTTCACAGCATTTGATGACCAGTGAAGACTCACCGATTATAGAGTATTATCCACCTGATTTTAAAACTGATCTAAATGGAAAACAACAGGAATGGGAAGCTGTTGTATTAATACCTTTTATTGATGAGGTCAGTGCTTATAATTATATATATATTCATACATTGTTCATCAAAGATTATTTCAAATAATGAGCAATCAATTTAATCACCATTTATGATTTGTTAATGACATTTAGCTACTCTATTATGTGCATCAAAACTTTTAGGTGTGCTAATTATAAAGCTAGATGGTTTGACTAATGTTATTTAGACTTCAGAACAAGGAGTATTACCAGTAATAAAAAGGGATATGTCATGATAAAAGAATCAAGTCGGGCCAGGGATTTAGCTCAGTGGTTCCGACACCTGCCTTGCAAGCACAAGGTCCCAAGTTTGATCCCCAGTACCAAAAAAAAAAGTCAGTTCATCCAGAAAAAATTGGAGCCGAGGACAGTTGAGTTACAGAGCACACACCTAACATGAGCAAGGCCCTAGGTTTGATCTCCAACACTGCAACAACAACAACAACAAAAAGACATAAAAATTTTATATGTATATGCACCTAATAACAACTTCAAATACATGAGACGATGGCCAGAATTGGGGGCAGAATAAACAAATCTGTAATTATAGTTAGAAATTACAATGTTCTTCTGTAATAAACTGATAGCACAAGACAGAAAATAAGTAAAGATAAAGATTTGAATTATGCTAAAAACCCACTCAACTTTATTAATATTACAACACTATATTCAACTACAGAATACATGTCCCTTTTAAGTAAAGTGGTAGAAATTGCCAAATTGGAACACATGATAGAATCTTTAAAACTGAAAGATGATAAGACCTATGGTTGGTTAGTTGGTTACTTGCCTGCTTGCTTGCTTGTTTGAGACAAGGTCTTGCTATGTAGTTCAGGCTGGCCTTGAACTTACTTCATAACCCAGGCTGGCTTCAAACTCATGGAGATCCTCCTGTGTCATCCTCCCAAGTGCTGGGATTACAGGCATGTAACTGCTGCCATGCCCGGCAAGACCTATGTTTTTGCCTCTTGGAGAATTATTGCTCAATATCTGTTCCTAGTAGCAGAGGGTGCTTACCTGTAGGTGTGATCTTCTTGACTCTGCACACATACATACACATCCTATTCAGCTTGAACATTTGTCAGACTTCTTTTCCTATCTATACCTTTTGTCTCACAGAGTTCTAACTGATGTGTCAGGACAAGGAGGTTTGAAAGCATAGGAGGTGGGTGTGCTTAAAGTCATTTTATTTGCTTATCGTTTTGTAGATCAACAATTTAGGCTGGGTTCCTCTGGTTGGTTTTTGTTGTTGTTGTTGTTGTTGTTGATCACACATGAGCTCACTCAAATATTAGGCAGAATTCCTTTTTTTTTTTTTGAGACAGGTTGTCGCTCTGTGGTTCAGGCTAGCCTAGCCTCCTGAGTGCTGGGATTACAGGTGTATACCACCACATCCAGATGAGATCACTCAAGTATTGCAATCATCTTTGATTCAGCTGGAGCTAGTTGTCTGAGACAGATACTCATATAATTGGTGATTGGCCCTTCTACTCCCTTCCTTCGTTCTGTTAGAAGCTGGATGGTGGTAGGCCCCTGTGTAGCAATGCATAAAATTCTAGCTTTTTTCCTCCTTTCTCTATATATTGAGCTCAGAAATTACATTGTGTCTATGTGAATATGGACAGTTAGCATTTACCAACATGTACCTGTCTACTTTCTCTTGTTTAAAAAAAGAAAAAAAACTTTTAGAAATGGAGTATAGAAGGTCAGCAAAGGGTCAGTTTGAGATACTTGGGTGTGTTAAGCAGGCATTTGACAACATGGCTTCTCCTTTGGTGTGTTTAATTGTGATGTCAGTGGATATCCTTGCAGTCTAAGGTGACACTTTTACTCTTTTTTTTTTTTGGTACTGGTGATCGAACTCGGGACCTTCTACTTGTGAGGCAGACGGCAGAACCACTAAACTAAATCCCCAGCCCTAAGGTGACACTTTTAAAGAAAAGTTGTCTCCTAACGATGACTTTAGCCCTGCCATTCCATGGGAGAATCAGCAGAACCTATAATGTCTTATTTGGAATTGACATTCTCTATTGTAATTTTATTGATTTATTTTTAAATTCTTTTTTGTTTTCACTGGAAAGGAAAAGGTGATGCTCAGTTTTATACATTCAAAATGTTCAAGTTGCTTTGTTACAATAAAACTATATGTGTACATGAAAAAAAATAATTGGCGGTTGGGGTTGGTAACTGAGGCCTCTATATAGCATCCCTCACCTTCAAGAAGGCTAATCCAGGTTTAATTTTCACAGTGTCCTTGGATTCTAAGAAAGATAGAACAGGGCCAGGGATTTAGCTCAGTGGTTCCACCGCCTGCCTCACAAGCACAAGGTCTCGATTCCTGGTACCAAAAAATAAATAAATAAATAAGAAAAATAGAACAGAAGTTATAAGGCCTCTTGAATTTTGGAGGTTGCATAGCATCACTTTTGTTGTATTGTTTTAAATAAAGCAACTCAAGCCGGGCATGGTGGCACATGCTTATAATCCCAGCACTCGGGAGACTGAGCCAGGAAAATTGCTGTGAGTTCGAGGCTAGCCTGGACTACATAGTGAGTTCAAGGCCAGCCTGAACTACATAGCAAGACCCTGTCTCAAAAACCAGAAAGGGGTGGGGGGAGGAGGGGGGCGGAGGGGAAGGAGGGGGAGGAAGAGAGAAAAGCGGAGGAGGGGAGGGGAGGCAAGAAAGAATAAAAGAAAGGAAGGAAGGAAACTCAAAAAAGTCAAGGGCCGGGGATTTAGCTCAGTGGTTCCGGCGCCTGCCTCGAAGCACAAGGACCTGAGTTTGATCCCCGGTACCAACAACAACAAAAAAAACCGCAAGTCAAAAGGCCAACCCAAATTTAAGGAATAAGGAATAAGGAAATGGAGGGGGGAGGAGGACAGAAAAGGGAAGGGGAAGGGAGGAAAGAAAGAATAAAAGAAAGGAAGGAAGGAAACTCAAAAGGCCAATTACATTCTGCTTTTTGTCTAAAATAAACACGCTGGTGTATCCCACATCCCACAAATCGCATTTCATCATAACATCAGCAGGCTTAAAGTCCAGAATCTCATCTTTACACTGGGCCCAGATGGATGAGGTTCCTCAAATGTACCTCCTTGGGTAAAGTTCTCTTAATTCAGAGACCTAAGAATTAAACAAGTTCTCTCTCCTACCCCACATTCTCAGTATATAACCACAATAAGTCACTCTTGTCAAAAAGAATAGGAATAGGAGGTATATAATGATCAGTGATCTATAAACAGTTCTGAAATTCAGCTGAATAGCAACAACTATCAATTTCTTCTTATAAATACAGTGCTGCAATGAACATGGGAATGCATGTCTTCTATATGCTGATTTTATTTCCTTTAGATATTTACCCAATAGTGGGATTGCAAGATCAGTCAGTAGTTCTATTTAATTTTTGAGTAAACTCCATACTATTTTCCATTCCCACTAACTTGTATTCCCACCAACAGTGTAAAATGTTCTCTTTCCTCCATGTCCTCACTAATAATTAACTTTAGGGTTTTTTAAAAAATAATATACATTCTAACAGGAGTGAGATGATATCTCATTGTGATTTTAATTTGTATTTTTCTAATGATTAATAATACTGAGGACTTTTTCGTATAACTGCTGGCCATTTGGGTCTTTTCATTTTTTTTGGCCTTACTAGGGATCAAACCTAAAGCCTCACATATGCTAAGCAAACACTGTACAACTGAATTATACCACCAGCCATGTTTATTCAGGAACTTTGGCCATTTTAAAATCAGCTTTTGTTGCTAAGAACTTGACGTATGTTTATACTGTTTATTATATATTTTGGATATTAACCCCTTAAGAGACATATAGTTTGCAAGTACTCTCTCCCATTCCTTAGATTGTTTCTTCACTCTGTTCCTGTGCAGAGATTTTTAGATTGATGCAGTCTCCTTTGCTTTTGTTGTTTGCTCCTAATCATTATATCCAAAATCATTGTCCAGACTACTGTCAGGAAGGTTTTTCACTGTTTTCTTCTAGTTGTTTTACAGACTCAGGTCTTAGATATGTAAATCTTTAATTCATTTTGAGTTGATTTTCTGTAGATGATGTAAGATAAGAGTCCAGTTTTGTTTTTGTGTATGTAGATATCCTGTTTTTCCTTTACCATTTATTGAAAAAGCTATCCTTTTCCATTTGTATGTTCTTGACACTATTGTCAAAGTTCACTTGACTATAGGGGCCAGGGATTTAGCTCAGTGGCTCCGCACCTACCTTGCAAGTGTAAGGTCCTAAATTCAATCCCCAGTACTATGAGAAAAAATTAAAAAAGAATCCATTGACTCTAAGTTATGGATGTATTTTTGGGCTCTTTTATTGCATATTACACATATACATATATATATTCATTCTTATGAGATAGACTTTTATATATGTTTGCATTTATATTTTTCTTTTGTAAATTGCCTTGTTTATAGTCTCCATTTTTCTTTTTTTTATTTTTCATAACTTTGTATAGTAGGAATAGTCTTTACCATTATCACACTTGTCTGTTGATTTCTACATAGCATTTTCTGTCATATTCATTTCTTTTACTTAAAAATGTAAAGGCTTTTTATATCTTGTGGCTTAAATAGGAATTATCACTCCAAGCCAAGTATTGTGGCATCTGCTTGTAATCCTCATACTCTGAGAGGATCAATCTCAAGTTCAAGGCCAACCTGGACAATTTAGTGATTTAGCAAGATCCTGTCTCAAAATAAAAAAGGGCTGGAAATGTAGCCCAGTGCAGAGACCCTGACTTCAATCCCCAGTACCACCAAAAAAAAAAAAAATTCCTGAATACTCTCCTGGATTTTCTTCTGTTACTTTTATGTGTGTATGTGCCTTTTTTACAGCTGTATAGTTACTTAATACTAATGACAACATCATTACATAAATATCTGAGTTACTATGTTTTAAAATATATTTGGATTCATTCTTAACTCTATTCTGTTCTTCCAGTCTATGGGTCACTTGTAGTGACAATAACAAAGTGTTTGCTGGGTATGTTGGTATATGCCTGTAATTCCAGCACTTGGGAGACAGGCAGAAGGATTGTTGCATGTTTGAAGGCAGCCTGGACTACATAGTGAGTTCAGGGCCATCCTGAACTACATAGCAACACCCTGTCTCAAAACAACAACAACAACAACAAAATAATAAAATATTTTTATTATCACTTTATCAGAAGTGATAGGATCTGATAAGACTAGTCCCAAATTCCTGTTTGCTATTGCTACATTCATCCTTCCATATGTACTTTTTTTTTTTTTTTTTTTTTTTTTGGTTTTTTGAGACAGGCTTCAGGCTGGTCTTGAACTTGCTATGTAGCCCAGGCTGGCCCCGAACTCACAGCAGTGCTCCTCCCTAAGCCTCCCAAGGGCTGGAGTTACAGGCATGCATCACTATGCCCAGCCCATATGAACACTAATACCATTTTGTTCTTTTCGATTACCATTTTGTCCATTTTGATTAGAATTATGTTAAATGTATAAGTTAATTTGGAAAAATAGATATAACTGTACCACTGCAGAACTTATAAAGAGATTGATGTTATATAATTATGATACAATATTTATGATAAATTCACATTAAAACTTGACTCTTAGGCTGGGAATGTAGCTCAGTAGTAGGGCACATGCCTAGTATGTGCAAGGCCATTTTTTTATTCTATAAGAAGATAAAATAAAATTTGATATTTCACTTCTTTTTAATCTGTACAGTGGCTACTGTTAGAATAATAACATCAGAGGAATTTGCCTATAACAGCATAGGCAGCAGTATTCCTGTGAAGAAATAAAGAATATATCACTTTTTTGTGTAATAAAATGGAGAAGAATTTTTGGTAGTTAAGATTTTTTTCGAGAGCACAAGTAGCAATTCTGCTATGAAATGAAAAGATTTATTCTGTGTATTGACCTTTGTGAATTTTTGTAATTTTAACCCTTCTCTTCATTCTTTACATTCAGAAGCGATTGTTGGAAGCCATGGAGACATGTAACCACTCCCTCAAAGAGGAAGAGAGGAAGAGAAACCGACATAGTGAGTGCCTGATGTGCTGGTATGATAAAGACACAGAGTTTATCTACCCTTCTCCATGGCCAGAAAAATTCCCTGCCATAGAACGATGCTATACACGGTAAGATTATTTGGTAGTTTTTCAACAACAAATAACTCCTGACACCAAAATAGTTTTTGATATCTACTTGGAGAATTATCAGTGAATTTATGGTGGTCAGTTGATAAAGAGCCAGGTACAGTGGCTTGAATCTGTTGTCCCAGCTACCAGGGAGGTTGAGATGGGAGGATCATTTAAACCTAGCAATTCAGCTGGGCGTGGTGGCACATCCCTATAACCCAGCACTTGGAAGGCTGGGGCAGGAGGATTGCTGAGAGTTCAAGGCCAGCCTGAACTGCATAGCAAGACCATGTCTCAATAATAATAATAATAATAATAATTACCCAGTAGTTCAAGATTAGCCTGGGCAACATAGTGGTATATTGTATCAAAAAAAAGGAAACATAAGGAGTTAAATCCAGTTTGCCAAGGATTATAAAATCTGATTATAAAACACTTTTTCCTATAATTGTCCACTTTGGTGGGATTGTATATCTCTTTCTTTCCATTAAAGTTTTGTATTTTTTCTCTCTTGAATGTATCTCTGCCCTCTGTCTCCTTCTAGAGGATTTTTGTTTTGAATATTTGTCAATTTTTGTTCCCACTGTCAGTGTTAAATAATATTAGTATTATAAAATATGCTTTAAGGGCCAGGGATTTAGCTCTGGTGCTGCGCCTGCCTCACAAGTACAAGGTCCTGAGTACTGGGGGGAAAAAAAAAATATATATATATATATGCTTTAAATTGACCCATTATGCCCACCGTTCACCTAACTAGAAAAAAAAGAAAAAAGCTACCTCAAACTTATTTTTATCAAACTTATCTTACCTCAAACTCATTTTTTCTTTCTTTTCTTCATTAAAATGTCATTCTTGGCGCCAGGGATTTAGCTCAGTGGTTTCGTCACCTGCTGCGCAAGTGCAAGGACCGGAGTTCAACCCCTGGAACCAAAAAAAAAAACAAAAAAATCATTCTTGGTTTTTCTCTAATTTTCCTTGCAGATAATCTTTCTAGATGGCAGTTGATTTGCTAGCACAGTGAATATCTTTCACTTATAATATTTCCTTTTGTTAAAGAAAATGATGAAATAGATTACGAAATGTTAATTTTTCATCTTGAGCTTTGGAACATGAGGATATTGAGGTTTATATTATGCTTTATCATTTTCTGTATTTTAAAAATTATGTATAGTTTTGTTTTAAATTAAAGAACAAAACCTCTACTTAGTAATCTACGAGTATAGATTTTTCTGGACCAGTAACAAAAGAGAAGCTTGGTTGTTCTGCTCAGTATTTTGTCTTAAAGACCAAGTTTTCATTCCCCTTTTTAAAAGCAAGGAATACTCTTACGAAGTAATCAAGGTAAAGTTGAAAATCTCTGATTGCTTGTAATGTTTGAATTTTAAACACCCTGATTTACTTTCTAGGTACAAAATAATATCACTAGATGCTTGGCATGTAGATATAAGTAAGAACAAAATAACCAGAGTTGACCAGAAGGCATTGTATTTCTGTGGATTCCCTACTTTGAAACACATCAAACATAAAGTCAGTGATTATTTAATTCATATTTTTTCACTTTGTTATGTGAAGTGATTATGCGAAGTGAAATAATTAACATTAAATTTTTTTAAATTCTTTTAAAGTTTTTTTTGAAGAAAAGTGGTGTTCAAGTATTCCAGCAAAGCAGTCGTGGAGAAAACATGATGTTGGAAATCTTAGTGAATGCAGAATCTGATGAACTTGTAAGTACTTTATTCATCAAGTCATTTCTCAGGTGTTTATTATGTGTAAGATATTTTCTAGCTGCTGAGGTGTTTACCAAAGAGATACAACATGCTGTAATTCACATGAGCAGTCTTGAAATCATTATTTTCATAAAGTTAATTTGGTGGCAGTATCATTGCACAAGAGAATTTTTTTAAAAAAAGGAAAGCCTGCCAGTTTCTCCTTTGTAGCATTAGTTGATAAGAGCATAAACTGTAGAAGTGACAGTATATCTAATGAACATGATGAAATGAAATTGGCACGTTTTATTATTTGTTGGAATATAGGGGGTGAAAGAGGAAGAAAATACTAAATATGACTGAGGTGTCTAGGCTAATTATCTAGAAAAGAACTCCAATTTATTGGATTACAAAAGTTAAAATAGAGGAATTGCTGATAGATAATAGTGGAATTTTAAGGAGGTACTAAGATGTTTAACTGAAGCTGCTCTATCACCTTCTATCACCAGTGTTCCACAAGAGATATAACCCCTAATGTCTTGAGGCATTCATTGTATATAATAAATTAACTCATCTTCTACGCATCTTGAATGATATTAGTTCCAGTTCCATCCTTAGAATTAAAATATTCTAATCATTTTATTGTGTCCTGTAGTTCAGATACAAAAACTCAGTTTAAAGCCAAGTATAGTGATGCATGCCTGTAAGCACTTGGGAGGCTGAGGCAGGAGTGATCACCTTGAGTTTGAGGCCATCCTGGGCTGCACAGTTCAGTGCTAGCCAATTTGGAGTACAGTTTGGAGTACAGAGTGAGACCTTGTCCCAAAAAAACAAAAACTCAGTTCAGAAACGCTGCTTATTTTACATTTAATACCTGGAGCTAGATAGACCTTGCAGAGAGATAGGGTTATACAAACTGTCCACAGAGAATGGATAGCTGAAGTCTTGAAGCTCACTTCCCTGAAAAAATATGGTACACTGATAGTTCATGATCTCAGCATAGAGAATGATCCACAATTACAAAAGGTGTAGAAGGAGCCAGTAAAAGTGACACAGTGGAGCCAGAAGTAAAAAAGAATGTTTCCTAAGTCAAGTAGTATCACAGAAGCTTGGAGCAAAGGTTGTATGCTACATAAGTCTGAAGGAAAACAAAAATTCAAAGTCTGAATTTGTCCATTAGGGCATTGATGTTGAGCTTGGAGAATTTTATTCCAGAAAATTCGTGGAAGCAGAAGTCCAGCTCCTAAGAGCTAGCACTCTGGGAGAATCAAAAGCTGGAGCCCAGCCTGGGCAACTTAGAAACTTAGCAAGACCTTGTCTCAGAATAAAAAATAAAAAGGCTAAGGATGTGGCTTGGTGTGATAGCCCTGGGTTCAATCCTCAGTACTGGGGCGTGGAGTGAGGGGGAGACTAGCCTAGGACTAGATAGATAGGAAGTAAGGGTAGCAGATTAAAGCTCTTGATCAAGAAGTTTATCATGGAAAAAAGGACTAGAAACATAACTCTGAGAAGAGACAGCTCATCAGGCAAAATTTATACCAAAGAAGGGAGTTGAGTTAATGGAAAAAGAAAGTCTTAAAGGCACTGTATCAGGAAGGGATATTTATGATAACAGTACCTCACAGGAGTAGAAAAGGATTTCATCTACAACTTACATGAAAGTATTGACCTGGGAAAGGAGGATACTTTTTTCAAAAATTAGAAGAAAACTTGAAAAAATAAAATCAGAAAGATACATAAAAGGAAAAGAATAATTGAGGAAGCTTCATTTCTTTCTGTTTTTTGAAGAAGCCTACTTCTAATGTTGAAAGTTGTTTTCTTTGTCAGAATACTTGGTATTCTGTTGTTTTGTATGTTCAGTAAAATCTGTATAAATACCACCAAACAAGTTACCAAGCTCTGAGCATGGTGGCACACGCCTATAGCCCTAGCACTCAGAGCCTAAGGCAAGAGAATCACTATGATTTCAAGGCCAGCCTCGGCTACATAGTAAGTTCAAGGCCAGCCTGAACAAAATAGACCCTATCTCAAAAAATAAAAGAACAGAAAAAAGATTACCAAAAAAGATTGAGTAATAAAAACATGAATGAAAATTTATTCTCTAAACTATATATACAAATTAAAGTAATAGTTTCCTTTTACAACTAGAATTTTTATTTAAGATACTTTACACAGAATACACAACTTTTCTCAGTTTATAAAAGCTTTTATTGATTTTATTTTATCAACATTACAAGGAAGATATTCCTTCTCATGATGGAAAACTGAGCCTTAGATTAAATGATTTGCCTAAGAGTCTGTAGGTGAAGGGTTGAAAGGTCCAGATTTGAACCTGTGTCCTCTAACTTCAACTGTAGTGTTCTTTTTTCATTTACCTGCCACAATCTAAAATTAGATCATACTTCTTAGATTCTGTTTTAAGTATCTATTAATATGAAACAATGAAGAGCCCTTTTCTAGACATTTCTGGTATTCTTTTCACTTTTTCTCAGTTACCATGAGAAAAATAAGCAAAATAATTATAAATCTAATTAGTAGACTCAATAATTTATTACTAGTAAATGGAGTTCTGTAGCAACCAGTCAAACTTGTTCATTTTACAAATTTAAAACTTTAAATGGAGCCAATGCATTAGCACTTGTCATCCTAGCTATTCAGGAGGCTGAGGCTTGAGGATTTCAAGTTTGAGGCTGGCCTGAACAGTTTAGTAAGCTCCTTTCTCAAAAAAAATTTTTTTTTTGTTTTGGTTTTTGAGTCAGGATCTCATCATGTAGTTCAAGCTGGCCTTAAACTCACTATGTAGCCTAGTCTGGCCTTGAACTGGTGGCTGTCCTGCCTCAGCCTCCCCAAGTGCCAGGATTATAGGCATGTGCCACTTATGCCTAGCTCTCAGAATAAATAAATTTTTTTTAAAAGGCTGGAGATACAGATCAGCACTTAGGTAGAGGTTAGAAAATTTTACCTGTTTAAAGCTTTCTCTTGGACTTAAAACATGAAATAACTTTTTTGCTTTTCCTTTAAGAGTATAGAAAATGTAGCTTCATCAGTGCTTGGAAAGTCTGTCTTTGTTAATTGGCCTCACCTTGAAGAAGCTAGAGTTGTTGCTGTATCAGATGGTGAAACTAAGTAAGTAAGATTTGATTTACAATTTTTCTAACTTATATTTGCTTTGCTTTTTCAATTGACTTTTTTTTGTTTGTTTATTTTTGTTTTGGTTTTTGATTTTTGAGACAAGATTTCGCTGTGTAGTCCAGGACAATCTTTTTGTTTTGTTTTGGTTTGGTTTGGTTTTGGTACCAGGGTTCAACCTCGGAACCTTGCACTTGCACAGCAGGTGCTGGAACCACTGAGCTAAATCCCCAGCCCGTCCAGGCCAATCTTGAACTCACTATGTAGCCCAGCTGGCTTCGAACTCATGGCAATTCTCCTGCCTCAACCTCTTGAGTACTGCATTACAGGCATGGGCCCCCACACCCAGCTTCAATTTATTTTTTTACATGATGAAGTTACTACAAGAGCATTTATACTGGGCTGTGGATTTACCTCAGTGGTGTTGTTGCCTGCCTCGCAAGCTCAAAGTCCTGAGTTCAAGCCCTGGTACCAAAAAAAGAAAGAGCATTTATACTCTGTAGTGAAAATGAAATTCCTGTAATCACACCACTTGAAATTCAACTACAATTGACAGTTTATCCTATACCTCTTGCAGATATTTTAGATGCAAATGTTATTTTTGTTTTTTTCTTTTTCTTTTTAATAGTTTGGAAGTTATATATCCTAACTCTTTCCTAACAGTAGTTATTATATTATTTAGCAAATATATTTGTCTTTCTGATAAAAATTTCTAATATATATAACCTTACTTTACCATGGTTTTCCTGGGTTTCATTTAAATAATACATTAATTTTTTCAAAAATGCTTTAAAAAATTTTTTTGAGAAATTCTGGCTGTATAGCCCAGACTGGCCTCAAATTTGAAATTTTCCTATCTCAGCCTCCTGAATGCTACAATTCCAGGCATGTGTACCAAAGTATATCTTCTATTTTAAGAATAATTTCTTAACATATTATTCAAGTTCACCATCATTCTATCATAAATATTCAGGTTTTTTCTTTGTTACCCCTACACTTAATGTTTCTAGTCATCTTTTCAATGATAAACTTCTTAATAAAAGGCTTGCTACCTGCTGCCTTTATATCCTACCTACCTGGTCCTGTCTATTCTCTAGGAATTGGACTTTGCCTCCACCAGTCTGTTGGGATGGAATTTCAGAGGCCAGCATCTTTCTCCTACTGGAAAAATTCACAGATCTTGTTTTAGTTTTTATTTTCTTTTAAACTTAGGCAGTATATAGCTCTGCTTCATGTTTCTTTGATGCTACATAACTTGGTGGTTTTTTTGTTTTGGTTTGGTTTTTTTTGGTACCAAGGATCGAACTTGGGACCTTGCGCTTGCGAGGCAGGTGGCAGCACCACTGAGCTAAATCCCTGGCCCAATGCTACATAACTTTGAATCACTCTTTCTAACTATACCCAAAGTATCTTTCTTGATACCTCCCTCATGAGTTTAGAATTTTTATAGGCAAGGTCCTTTTTCCTTAGCTCTGCTGCACACATCTCTCAATTATGCTCTGCTGTGTTGTGTTACTGAAGAAAAGTCAATGTCTATGTGATTTTTTTTTAAACCTTCGTTGACATCTGCTTTTCTCTATGGAATCTTGAGCATTCTTTTTTTTCTTTTCTTTTCTTTTCTTTTTCTGGAAATTGAACTCAGGACCTTTGTGCTTGCCAGACAGGCGCAGCACCACTGAGCTAAATCCCTGGCCCTTGAGCATTCTTTTTGAGACATCAAAATTGAGGTTTCCTACTTTTTGCTGTGGCCCAGATTACTAATTTTTTCTTTATATTTTTGGTATCATGTCTAAGAACTGTGGGTCCATAAGATTTTCTCTTATACTGTAAATTCTTTGAAAAGTTTTATAGTTTCAACTTCTTTTACATTAATTTTTATATAAGGTTTGAGATTTAGGTCAAGTTTCATATATTTGCCTATGAATATTCAGTTCCTGCAGCTTCATTTGTCAAAAAGACTATCTCTATTAGATTACTTTTGCATATTTGTCAAAAGTCAGTTGATATATTGGTATGGGTCTTTTGTGAGTTTTCTATTCCATTGATATATATGGCTTATTTTTATATCTATACCACACTATTCTTTTTTTTTTTTCAGTGCCGGGGATCAAACTCGGGTCCTTGCGCTTGCGAGGCAGGTGGCAAAACCACTGAGCTAAATCACCAGCCCCCACACTATTCTTGATTACTGTGGTTATATAACAAGTCTTAATATCAAGTAGAGTGATTCCTTCACCTTTTCTTTTTCAAAATTGTTGTAGCTAGTCTAGGTTGTGTGCTTTTCCATATAAACTATAAGTATAAAAAAATCTTGGGTGGATTCTCAATGAAATTTTATTAAACCTATAGATCAATTTGGGGAAATTTGGGCTCTTTGCTATATAGAGTCTTCTAGCTCATGAAAACAATATTATATATCTGTTTATTTAAATCTTTAATTTCTTCAGAGAAATGAGGTTTTTCATCATAAAGAATCATGTATGATAATTATACATGTTTTGTTATACTCATGCCTAAGTATTTAACTTTTCTAGGAGTGACTATAAATGGTTTTTGGTTGGGATTTTGTTGTCTTTGTTGTTTTTCAGGTGGGATCCTACTACATTCTGCAGGCAGGGCTCCAGCTTATGATCTCAAGCAGTCCTCCTACCTAAGCCTCCCAAGTAGCTAGGACTACAGGTGTGCAGCACTGAGCCCAGCTTACAAATTTTTTACAAGTCCTTATTCTGCAGTTTATAGTTTTTAAAAAGGCTTCTTTGCTATTGAAATATATAAATTTTTTTCACTTTAAAGACTCACATAATTAGAACTCTATAAGGACAAATGTGATGATGTATAATTTTTAATTTTAAGATTTTACTTGGAAGAACCTCCAGGAACACAGAAGCTTTATTTGGGAAGAACTGCTCCACCATCTAAAGTGATACATCTTGGCGATAAAGAGCAATCTAATTGGACAAAAGAGGTACAAGGAATATCAGAACAGTGAGTATCATAAAAAGAATTTACTCTTGGGCTGGGGATTTAGCTCAGTGGTTCCACCCCCTGCCTTACAACTGCAGGGATCCAAGTTTGATACCTGGTACCAAAAAAAAAAAAGAAAGAAAGAAATTCTATCATTATGGGCTGGGGATTTAGCTCGGTGGTTTTGTCACCTGCTGTGCAAGTGCAAGGACCCAAGTTCGATCCCCGGTACCAAAAAAAAAAAAAAAAGTTTACTCTTATCAGACTAGAATTTTTCATATACCCATTCTCTTAACTTATTTTCCACTTAACATAGTACTCTGACTATGCCTTCATCCTGTGTTCCAAAGAAAGTAATGAATTCTAGTTTAAAATGTTATCTGCTTGATATCAGTTAAAATCCTGTCCATTTTGTCACTAAAACACTTAATGAAGTACACAAAAATATTAAATTCTCAATAATGGAAGTAATATTTAATATGTTGCCTGAATTTGAGTGCTATTTAACCTGAATGTCGTTTAATTTCTTGACCACATGTAAGTAATGAAAGTAAGAAGGATGACTTTTGTTTTGTTTCTCATCCTCTTTCCCTCTTCAATCCTCCCACTTCTCTTCACCCAGTCTTCAAATGATTTAGAAATGAATCTGTACATCTTAACCAAACTGAAAACTTGGCCTTCCTCACAATGCTGTTTTTCAAGGTCACCACAGTGTTTTGTGTCCCATGACCCCATCCTAACATTTCCTCTCTTTCTTTTTGTAAATACTGAAAATCTCAAAATCAAGTCAGAGTGATAGAAGCTGGCATTGACATATGAAATGATGTTATAAATGTATATATACATCAGCACTCTTGTTTAAACTGTAATAAGATCAATTAAACTTTCAGAGAATTCAAGGAAGCTCGTACTCTATAACTGAGGAGCAAATATTAGGCCTGGCATAAAAGGACATAGCATAGCTCTGAAGAAATGAAGGTAGAACACACTTTTACCTCCCAACAATACAAATTAGATATTCCTGTTATAACTCATATCACTCTGAACTTATTTTCACATAAATAAAATCAGTAATAAATGATGTGATTATGTTAGTGAGTCTTTTCACAGCATGCTCAGTACAGGGAGGAGGGCCATGTCTGTCTATTTTTGTCACATTTTATTCTGATTGCTTGGCTAGTATTGAGGCACCCAGTAATTGTTTGAATAAATATTGTTTTAGCCAAGACTCTTTTCAATGGGAAAAAATGAAACTCAAAGTACTTCAGATAAAGAGTTTAGTCATTTGTTCATATATTGATGATACTTATGAATTGATATTTAAGTATCAGTACTTCTGCTAGGTATACTAGTAGGCACTATAGACACACAGTCCCCACACTCTTGAAACTTAGAGCTAGAGGATGAGAGACAGACATTAACATGTGACTTTGGTCAAACTACAATATGATAATTATTGGAAGAGTGGTACTCTGAGACGACATAATAGAGGAGTTTTGACTTAGCTAGGGAGAAATTTTCCTTAATCAGGAACGACTTCTCCAAGGAAATGTTGACTAAACTTTTTTGAATGAGGAGTAGAAATGAGGCTAAGAGTGAAAAAAAGTATCTTTCAGGATAATGGAAGACTTACCTGTGAAATTCCTATGGCAGGAAGAAAAATATTACATACTGAGGAAAATAAAGTATTACATATTGAGTATTACTAATATATTAAGGAAAATAAAGGAGAAGAAAAGAGGAGACAGGAGATCAGCTGGGGAAGGGGTTACATCCTGTAGATCAAAGTAAAAGTATATTATAAAATAAAGCAGTAAGTATTGCCATATGTTTTGAAGAGACTAAGTAAGAGGTATTTTATGGGGCTGAAAGCCAAACTAGAATGAATAAAGGAATGATCAAGAGTTATAGGCATGGCAAAAATTAAAACAAAGAACAGAGATAACTAAAGGATATAGAAATGAGTGGATTGGATTTTTAGTTTATTCAGAGACGTGTGATAATGTATAAAAACAAATGAGAAGGAAAAGTGCAGCATTTGGGAAGAGAAAACAATACATTTGAAGAAAGAATGAGATGTGTTATGATATAGATCTAGAATGTCCCTGAAAAGCCTCGCATGTTCAGAAGTGGGGCTTTTGGAAGGTGTTTGGATACTGATGGTGCTGTAGCTGACTTGCTGTGAGGAGGTGGGGCCTGCTCTGAGGTGGATCACTGGGAGCGTAATCAGAAGGGTGTATCTCTTGGGTCTTCCCTTCTCTCTTTGCTTTCTGGCTGCCACAGGATGAGCAAATGTCCTGTGCCCAGACCCTTTCACTGTAGCCCTTCTGTCTTGGAGCTAACTGACTGAGAACTGAAACCTCTAAAACGTGGGAGCCAAAATAAACAAAAAAGTTGTGAGTATTGGGTATTTTGTCCTAGCAATGAGAAAGTGTCTAAGACAGGTTTATTCTTAAATGGGATGAAGATAGCTTCTGTATTTTAACAGGATAGCATAGAAATATAGGTTGGTTTGTGTGATTGACACAGGGAAAGATAAGGAACTTTCATTTGATTCTTTTTTTTTTCATTTGTCAAGTAGATGTTGAAGGTATTGAATAAGAGAGAAGAGGAAAGTTAGTCATTAATTTGAATAGAATGGAGCAGATTTGAAGAGAATTCTTGGAAGAAATGGAAAAGTATCAATCGTAAAAATATAGTGGACTTATAGGCAGTATTGAGTTGAAGATCATGAATTTACAATGAAACATTCTGCCCTATGATTTGACAGTAGATCTTAGTTCATCAATTACAACCCTAAAGAAAACAGATGGATTCAACCAACACTAGATTTTGCCAGATAGATATAGTACAATGAAAAGACAAAGAGACAAGTTTAGATTACTGGCAGGAATATTACTGAAATGATAGACAATGGAATCTAAGTAGGATAGAGAAAGAAGTTAAGAAAGTAGAGGGTTAGATCTTGATATTGTAATTTTTAAAATGTATAATTGATATTGTTTAATAGGAAGTAAAGGTCTCAAGGAGCAGGGGAAGTGGGAGGGGTAGGAGAAAGGAAAGAAGGGAAAAGAAAAAATATGAGAAAAGGAAAAAAATGGAAACAAAGTCTTTGCAAAGAGGGAAGGGCGGAGGGGGTGAAGGGAGGGCAGGGGAAGGGGAAAAAAAATAAGAACCAAGATACTCATGTAATGGTACAAGAGCCCAGTGATGTATGTAACTGTATTTTATACCTAAAATGTACCAATAAACTTAATGGGGAAAAATAAAAATAAAGTACAGTTATCATAGAAAAAAAAAAAGTAGAAGGTTAATACTCTGAAAGAAGTAGAAAATAGAGAGCCCAAATGAAATTAAGATCTTAAGCAGAGCAGTTGAACAAGCAAGTTATAATGCAAAAGAGGGAGTTAGTAAACAAAATGTATTTTACTTTGTTATTTTTGGAGGTGAAACAAGTATGGATGTCAAGACCCAAAACATAGCCATGAGAATAAGTGCCTGAAGTAGAATGAAGAAGGTTACTGGAGATAAAGAGGTTGTAAAAATATACTACTGTGGTCTTGAGTAGACCACACAGTGGAGATTGAAGTCATTCTGGATGATGACATAAGGGTATAATGGAAAGCAAAGGATAGTTTCCTACTAGAGATTTGGAAGTTATGAGTCGTAAGGAGAACATCAACACACTCCTAGTTTTAAGGTATATGACATGAAAACAGCACTCGATAGGGCTCTACATGGAAATCATGAAAACTAGAGATAAGGAGGGAGAAATTGAGGATAAAATGGAGGGAAAAAGTTTAGGAATAGGAGAAGATCTGGGAACAGCAATAAGGAAGTGCTTTATGAAGAAGATGGTCTAAGAGGATAATTTGAGTGAAACGCTCGGCATCTCCACCAAGCAAGATAGATCAACATAAAAACGATGGTTATTATTAAACTATTAGTGATAAACAGTGGATTTTTAAAATATATTTGCATATGTATGCACATATTTCTCCCCCCCCCACCACTAGGGCTTACACCCAGGATCTTCACACTGAACTACTACATCACCAGCCCCACCTCCTTTTTTCTGTGGTACTGGGGATTGAATTCAGGACCTTGCACTTGTGAGGCAGATGCGGCAGCACTGAGCTAAATCCCCAGCCCTTATTATTTTATTTTAAAACAGGGTCTTACAAAGTCACCCAGACTGGGCTTGAATTTGGGATTCTCTTGCCTCAGCCTCTTAGAATGTTGGAATTACAGATATGCACCACCACACCTGGCTGTATGCATTTCTGTTGAGTATATAAGAATAGAAACATGGCTTCCCAGTGTGTACCTAAGCTCAGTTTTAATAGATTCTGCCTTTGGTTTCCAAAGTAGTTGTATCAGTTTACATTCCATTAGCAGTTTATAAGAACTTTTGTTGATCTTTATTTTTATCAGTACTCATTGTGGTCTCTCCCATTTTAACCATTCTGGTACAGTAGTGTCTTATTTTGGTTTAATTTGCATTTCCCTGATTACTAGTAAGTTGAACATCCTCTCCTGTTTGTTGGCTATGTGAATGTACATACTATTTTGTGAAATTCCTGCAACTTTTTAAAATTAGGTTCTTTTTCTTGTTGTTTTGTAATTTTTCTCATTGATTTATAGTCTCATTCTCATTTCCAGGGGAAACTTATAATTTGTCATTGAATATCATGATTGCTATAAACTTGTTATTAATCAATATTTTTTACTTAAGAAAATGTCCTTATATTCCTAGTTGGTTAAGAGTTTTTATCATTAATTGATCCTCATTTTATCAAGTGTTTTTTTCTAGTTTAGATGATGATTATCACCTTAGACTATACACATACTTATATATATATATATATATATATATATTTCTTATTTCTTTTAGCTACTTGAGAAGAAAAGGAATAATAATAAATGAAACATCTATGGTTGTATATGCTCAGTTACTCACAGGTCGTAAATATCAGATAAATCATAATGGTGAAGTTCGTCTGGAAAAGCAGTGGTCAAAACAAATTCTTCCTTTTGTCTATCAAACCATTGTCAAAGTAAGTCTTCAAGTTCATATTAACATTTTATAAAGAAGACTAATTCAGTAATGTATAATAGAGATTATTATTTAATATAATGTGGGGGATTTTTTTGTTTTGTTTTGCTCTGTTTTGAGACTATGTAGTTCACTATATAGTTCAGACTGGCCTTGAACTCACTGTGTAGCCTGGGCTGTCCTCAAACTTGTTGCAGTCTTCCTGCCTCAGCCTCCTGAGTGCTGGGATTACAGGTGTGTGCCACCACGCCCAGTATTTAATTTGTCAAATATGTTATTCTGCATAAGGAGTATTATGTATTCTGAGAAGAGTGTGTATAGTAAGGAAACTTGTCTTCCTAAATTTTTTTTTCCGGTAACAGGGATCAAACTCAGGACCATGTACTTGCGAGGCAGGTACGGAGGCACTGAGCTAAATCCCCAGCCCTCTTCCTAGTATTTTTAAAGACTTAATCTCTAAAACAAATTTTTCAACATTAACTTCCTATAAGAAAAAAATTGAAGGCTCTTGACTTAATAAGAAAGAAGAATAATCATATGCTGGGGTTCCTAACATTATAAGGAACAAATCTTCTGTCCACAAAGTTGTGAAGAAGGGAAAAGAAATCCTTACTAGTTTTGCTGTTGCACTTCAAACTGCACAAGTTACTACCACAGTGCATGAGAAGTGCTTAGTCTTTTGCTACACTTTGTCTCACCACTTAGGCATTGTATCATCTCACATTATCACAAGAAGAAAGATGAGGACAATACTAGATATTTTTAGAAAGACATACACCACATTCACATAACTTTTCTTATAGTATATTGTTACAAATATTCTATTTTGTGGTTCTTATACTCTTACTGTGCTTAATTTCTCAATCAAACTTTATCATATGTCTGTATAGGAAAAACCACAAAATATATAGTGTTTGATATGATCTAGTTTCAGACCACAGTGGGTGGTGTGTCTTGGAAAGTAAGGAGGGACTGCTATATTTCATGATCCTGTAATCTGTGGAGTAGAAGATAGTGTAAAAATTAAGAATATAGCAGCTTCTTCTGGAGTGGGGTATGGTGGCTCACCTGTAATCCCAGCACTCTGGGAGGCCTAGAGTAGAGGATTGCAAGTTCGAGCCCAGCCTGAGCAATTTAGCAACTTAGGGAGACCCTGTCTAAAAATAAAAAGTGCAAAAGAGCTCAGCGCAAACACCATGAATTCAATCCCAGTATCACACACACAAAAAGCTTAGACCACCTGAGTTGTCTTTTCTGTGCAATCTTGGACAAGATTCACCCCCTCTATCTGCTTTCCTTTCTTCGTCTGTAACACAAGAGTAATAATAGTCCCTGCCACAGAAGGTCATGTTGAGAATTAAGTGAATGGAAAAAAAAAAAATTTGTGGAGTACCTATAAGAGTGTATATTCTAATCTTGTTATTTCAAAAATTTTTACATTTGACATTTGCAGACAGCATATCCATAATCCCAGAAGAAAAAGATGTACAACCTGTAGAAGCTTTGACTAATGATTTTACTTTTGTATTTCATTTCACATAGGACATCCAAGCTTTCGACTCTCGTTTCTCCAGTATCAAAACATTGGATGATTTGTTTCCTCCTGGAAGTGTGGTGTTTATGCTGGGGACTCCTTATTATGGCTGCACAGGAGAAGTTAGTTTCATATTTGTTACTCATTAAATTTCTTTCTAGTTTCAAGTTGATGCAGTTATTTAACTTGTCTTCAAAATGTATTGCCAAAGGAGAAAAATAAGGAAGAATTCATTCATGTAACTTATGAGCATAGTATTTGACTAAGTATCTTTAATCTTGAGCAAATTAGCATTGGGAGATGGGCAATAAAGAATTCAAATCCTAATCAGACACAGTGGTGCACATCTGTAATCCCAGCACTTTGGCAGGTTGAGGTAGGAGGATTGAGCCCAGTCTGGACAATTTGTGACTCACATGGAAAAAAGATACATCCAAATACTTCCATCACCTTAAGAAGATACCTCTCCACAGATTGTTTATTAGCCATAAGGGATACAAAAAACTGTAATTGTGCACTGAAGAAGGTAAGTGACATATTGATGGTATGATCAAAGATAGTATCACAGTGAGGGACAAATGAATATCATGTACCTGCAGGTGTGTGTCCTAGGACTGACATATCACCTATGCAGTATTCCAGCTGGTAATGTATAATCTTAAAACTAATTACAAAGAAGTACCAGAAAAAACCCAAAATAAAGAACTTTAAGAAAAAAAGCAGTGAGCCTATAATCCTAGCTACTTGAGAGGCTGAGGCAGGAGAATCACAGGTTCAAGACCAACCTGGGCAATGTGTCTTAGAAAATATAAAAGGGCTGGAGAGGTCAATGGTAGAGCACCCCTGGTTTAATTCCTAGTACAGGGTGGGTAGGAGAAAGATAGGGAGTGGATGAGATGGGAACACCAGAGTGAAGAGGGAAAGATGAATTGTGTTCTTCAAAATGTCAATAGTATAAAAAAACAAAAACTTTATATATATTCCAGATTAAAGGACACTGACAAGGCAACTGAATGCAATATCTGATCCTATCCTGGATCATACAGGAGAGGGAGAAAAAAAATTCCATGTAAGACATTATAAGATCAGTTGACAAAATTGGAATATAGACAGTAGCTTGGATAAGAGTATTGTATCAATGTAATTTTATATAATTAATGTGTTGAAACAAAACCCTGCGTAAATATCAAAAATATTTAAAGGTAGGAAACATGAAACATATAATATATCCTCAAAGGGCTTAGAAGAATAATTATATGTATGTCACCATACACACAGTACACAAATGCTAAAGCAGTTTTCTTTATAATGTTAATAATTGGTAAATCTGAGTAAATGTTTTCAAGTCTGCTCAGTAGTGTTTTTATTTTTGCAACTTTTTGGTACTTTGAAAATTTTTACAAATAATTAAAATAAGAATGATTAATACTTATTAAAGCCAGGATAAAATGACTCAAATTTACAATATTATCATATCCACTTAAAAATTCCAAGAGAATTTCCAGTATCCAGTTTTTTGGGTTTTTTGTTTGTTTGTTTTTTGGTACCGGGGATCGAACTCGGGTCCTTGCGCTTGCAGGACAGGCAGCAGAACCACTGAACTAAATCCCCGGCCCTCCAGTATCCAGTTTTATTGTTCAACTCTTATTTTAGAAATAATACCCATTCAAATAAATAAAATTTAATGAAAGAGACTAAAACATAACTTACTTTTTTTTTAACCTCTAAGGTTCAAGTTTCAGGTGATGTGATCACAGAAGGCAGAATTCGTGTGGTTTTCAGCATTCCATGTGAACCCAATCTTGATGCTTTAATACAGAACCAGCATGTGAGTACAGTAGTTCATATTATTTCATTTAAAAGTAATAAACTTTTAAAATATTAGGATTTTTTCCACCTCCTTTAAATTTATATCAAATATTTTAAGAGTAAGTGTGGAGCCACACACAGTAGCTCATGGGCTCATGTCTATAATCTCAGCTATTTAGAAAGCTGAGGCAGGAGGATTGCAAGTTCAAAGCCAGGCTGGGCAACTCAGTGATAACCTATCTCAAAATAAATGGGGTTGAAATGTAGCTCAGTGGTCAAGCAATCCTGGGTTTGGTCCTTAGTACCTGGGGCATGGGACAAGGGAGAATAAGTGCTTAAAAATTCATGTTAATCTACCTTAGCATGTACAGGTCCTGGGGTTTGATCTCCAGCACCACATACCACAAATTCATGTAAAGTTTTTAGGCAGGAAAGCACTGATTTTTTTTTTTTAACCATTAAAAGATTTTAAATGGACCCATTATTAATTCATAATGTTTATTTTGGATTATTGTGTTCAAGTTTATAAAAAGCATATTGATTAAAATACCCTCTGGGAATAGATTTTGGTTCTTTAGACCTTTCATTATAATTCAAAGCCTGCGTTTTTAGTTAAAAGCGGCAAATGGCCCTTCTGCTAAGGTTGTTTATCTTTATTCTGCTAAATTGGACAGTCTCAACCCTAGAGAATCCTGAGAAAATCCATTTAAGTTTACGGTGTCCTTTTTCAAGACTTTTTCTCTAAAGATGTTCATTGGCCTCCTTTTCCCCTGTTAAAATGGGGTAAGTTTTTATTACCTGTCATTTGTTTTTATTGATGACAGGATAATTGACTGAAGATAAATAATTCACAATCAACCAGCTATTACTACTATTGCCTTTTTTTCCCTAATGGTAAAATCTAAACTTTTTTAAATCTATAAGTTTATATCTAAAGTTATTCTTTAGATATAAAGTAAATTTAAGACATTAAGCATCAGCACACCCTTGAAGAAACTTCATGTATGGAAGACAGATGTACCTAAAATCTTACTATCAGGTCTCTATTGAAAAAAAGAAGTTAGACAGCATAGTCAGGAAACCAGCAGAAGAGCCCATTAGATGAAGAAGCTAGAGTTTTGTTCTGGGAATCAGTGAAGGTTAAAGAACTAGTTAAAATTCCTTTCTTTTAACTTTCACTCAAGCCACTGTCTTTTTCTACCCCCAACATTCTTGGCTATATATTATATATTTCCTAGATTACTTATGATTATTTAATTTTTAATTATAGCATAGCTAAACATAGTACTGTTGGTAGCTGGAGCATCAGTTATTGCTGTACATAGGACTCTTCTGTATATGGCAGCACATTGGCATCATTGGCCCCTTAACACTAAGTGTAAGTAGCCCACGCCAATTATTGTAACTGAATGTATGCTTAGAGATTTCCAAATGATTATTAGAAAAGTGGTACTATAGGGGCCGGGGATTTAGCTCAGTGGTTCCAGCACCTGCCTCGCAAGCACAAGGTCCTGAGTTTGATCCCCGGTACCAAAAAAAAGAAAGAAAGAAAAGTGGTACTAGGCTGGTGATGTAGCTCAGTGATGGAGCACTTGTCTGGCATATACAAGGCCCTAGATTCAATCTCCAATACCAAAAAGTAAAGAAAGAAAAGTAAGGGAGGGAGGGAGGGAAGGAGGGAGGGAAAGGAGGAAAGGTATTACTGCTTCTAACTGAAAAATACTACCTTAATTCTTCATTCTTCTGATCTATTCTAGAAAACGTACTTGCTTTGTATTATATTATTGCTAAATCTTATTGTGTTCTTTATTTTAAAAAGTTACATTCTTCATTAACATATTTACATATTTTAATAGTAATTTTGTGTTCCAGGCCACCCAAAACAGTTATCCATTTAGGAATTATTATAAACATCATCAGTAAAATAATGACAGCTTAATTCCTTACCAATCTCCTGAAATTTGTGAGGGCGTTTTGGTAATAAAATTTCCTTATATTCAAATCACAAATGAACATAAAGTAATAATATAAACTATTGACATAAGTATGTGAATAAAAATTTAGTTTGCAATTTTCCATATACATTACATAAGGAGTACATGAAAGTTTACCTCAATTGATACTGGTTTTGTGAGTCATTTGCTTCCTGGTTAAAAATTATTATCATCTAGGGCCAGGGATTTAGCTCAGTGGTTCTGGAGCCTGTCTGGCAAACGCAAGGTCCCGAGTTCAATCCCCGGTACCAAAAACAAACAAACAAAATTATCATCATTTGCCAGGTGTGGTGATGCACTGCTATAATCCCTCCTTCAGCACTTGGGAAGCTGAGACAAAAGGATCACTACAAGTTCAAGTTCAAAGCCAGCCTGGGCTACATAGTGAGTTCAAGGACAGCCTGAACTACATACCAAGACCCTGTCCCCCTCCAAAAAAATTATCATCATCTGCAACTTGTTTTGGGGTTTTTTTTTCCTTTTCTTTTTTTTTTCTGGTAATGGGAATAAAACTCAAGACCTTGCACTTGCCAGGGAAGCGCAGAATCACTGAGCTAAATCCCTAGCCCTTTGCTTTTTTAATTTGATAATATTCATGGCTTCTTCCTTTAAGTGTACAAATTAAGCTTAATTTCATGAAATGTATGAATCATAATTCTATACATATTTCATGTAATAGGAAATAGTAAATAATAATATGCATATAAGAAGAACATTTTTCATTTCCCTCAGTGGCAATTATTTTGTTCACATACTAGTGTTTTAACTCAATGTGGTAATTATTGAGGCCTCATTTTGTCCGAGGTTCCTTTGCTAGGCACTGCTTAGAATGTGAAAATAAGTTTGAAAACAAAACTGGGCATAGTGGCATACACGTGTAACCCCAACTACTTGGGAATGATGATCACAAATTTAAGGCCAGCCTGGGCAGCTTTGTGAGACCCTGTCTCAAAATGAAAGGTTTTTTTTTGGTGCCAGGGATTGAACTCGGGACCCAGCACTTGAGAGGCAGGCAGCAGAACTACTGAGCTAACTCCCTGGCTCAAAATGAAAGTTTTAAAAAATGACTGGGGTTATAAGCTCAGTAGTAGAATACTTGCCTGCTATGCATGAGGCTGTGGGTTCAATTTCGCCATAACTGGAAAAAAAATTGCCAGTGACATTTGCTATTTAGTACTTATAGTACAGCTTATTTCTTGAGACAGTTTCACAAACTGTATATTTCCTCTTTCATCCATCCTTGAGGATTCTGACTTTTAAGGAGAAAGAAGCAGAAAAATTCTGCCTTAAAATCTTTTTTTAAATGGAGGAAATTGGCTGGGCATGGTGGTGCACACTTGTAATCCCAGCACTAGGGAGGCTGAGGTAGAAAGATCATCGCAAATTTGAGACCAGTCTGGGCTACACAGTAAGTTCAAGGCCAGCCTGGACTTCCTAACAAGACCCTGTCTCAAAAAAAGGGGGAGGAAGGAAATAAAACTAGGTAAGAATCCAATGGTGATGTCTTGATTATCTCCAGTTTTAAAGGTAAAGAAATATTTAAAGTAAAATTGTGTTTCTTTAATTGACCTGTTTGTTTTTATATTTAAAGAAATATTCTATAAAGTACAACCCAGGATATGTATTGGCCAGTCGCCTTGGAGTGAGTGGATACCTTGTTTCAAGGTTTACAGGAAGTATTTTTATTGGAAGAGGATCTAGGAGAAAGTAAGTTTTTGTTAGAGAAATTTACTTAAATGGCAAAAAAAAAAAATGATAAAGATTAAGTGCTTAATATTTCAGTATTTATTTTCCTTATTAATTGTTGTGAATTTTCTTTTAAAATTGTGGATAAATGCCTTTGATGGTGATCTTTTATCTGAATGCCATGTGTTTTAGATCTTTGGAAAGAAAGTTTTTATTTTTAGCTGCTAACAAGTTGAACCTTGAAAAAAGGTATCAAAGGGTGTGTGTGAACCTCAATAATATACTTCCTTCCATTTTGTTATTTTTAATTTACATGCTTTGTTAATTTGGAATTTGAAGTCCTTCCTCTGGTTTTTCAGTTACTGCTAGTTGGAAATAACCATAGTAACTAAAATATAAAAGAACAATCAAAACTAAGCCAGGCATGGTGGCACAGGCCTATAATCCCACCACTCAGGAGGCTGAGGCAGGAGGATCTCAGTTCACAGCCGGACTAGGATACATAGAAAAACTTTGCCTCAGAAAACCATTTTTTAAAAGAAAAGAAAAAGAATAATTAAAACAACTTTTCTAAACTTTGAAAGGAAAATGTTTTATTGCTTGAACAATCTTTAAAATTTGTGTGTGTGATTTAAATTCAGCCCTCATGGAGACCATAAAGCAAATGTGGGTTTAAATCTCAAATTCAACAAAAAAAATGAGGAGGTACCTGGATATACTAAGAAAGTTGGAAGTGAATGGATGTACTCATCTGCAGCAGAACAACTTCTTGCAGAATATTTAGAGAGGTAAGTGCCTAGAAGGTCCCACGAGGCATCCAAAAATTTATGAATGTACTATTTATTTTGTTTTGCTTATATCAGTTTTACAAGGAAATATTTTCATTAGCAACATGGGCAGCAGCACATTTGTGTTAACATTTCTTTAATAAATGTATTAATATTTTCTTTAATGTTAACTGAGTTACTTAGTGACAGATTTATAGGAAATATGTTCACTTCTGATTCACAGTTTACTGTTCTTTTTATTGTCCCACCGGTTTCTAACTATAGTTGGGGATCTCTGTATTAGTTTTTTTTTAGATTTTATTTTACTTTCTTTTATTTTTTTAATTTTTTTTAATTTTTTTTTGCTACCGGCGATCGAACTCAGGACCTTGCACTTGCAAGGCAGGCACCAAAACCACTGAGCTAAATCCCCAGCCCTCTGTATTAGTTTTCTAGGGTTACCATAGCAAAGTACACAAACTGGGTGTTTTAAACAACATAAACCTTGTCTCAGAGTTCTGGTGACCAGTAGCAGTATACCATCAGGGCCATGGTGCCTCTGAAGGCAATGAGCCTCTCTTCTAGCTTTTTGTAGCCTTATATCTTCCTTGGCTTGCAGATGCAGCACTCTAGTCCTCTGTCTTCCCTGTGACACCTTCCTTGTGTGTCTTCACATTGTCTTTTACGTTTTTATTTCTTTTTAATATTTAAAAGCCTTTCCTTTTCTGGCTATTCCTTTGGGATGTATGTTTGTTTGTTTGTTTGTTTGTTTGTTTTGCAGTACAAACTCTGGGCCTTGCACGTTGAAGGCAAGGCCTTGATCACCTCTTTTCCTTTTTATGACATCTAGTTCTCATGAGGAATAGAATGTTTTGTTTTTATTATCTGCAGATAGTAATTCTAGATTTTTTTCCCCCCAATACTGAAGATTAAACTCAGGACTTTCACACGGAGCTATACTTCTAGCCCTTTTTTTGAGACAGGATCTCACAAAATTGCCCAAGTTTGAGACTGGAATAAAATGATTATTCTTATTTTTTACATATAACATATTTTCATCTGGGAGTGGTGGCACATGTCTGTAATCAAGATGCCGAGGCGGCAGGATCGCTGTGAGTTTGAGGACAGCCTAGACTACACAGCAAGACCCTGTCTCAAAAAAAAAAAAGAGAGAGACACTAAAAAGCTAATTGGAAATTTGGTGCACATGAGAGGGCCTTATCATCTTTATTATATCTAAAGAGGATCTCCTAATGTCACTACCCTATATGTATATGATTTTTCTGGTTAGTTTTCCCAAAGCGGTATCTTCCAGCTGTTTTTTTTTTTGCTTTTTGTTTTTTTTTATTAAATTCTTTTATTGGTACATTGTAGGTATACAACACAATTACATTTCTCATTGGGAATTGTACCTTTACATGATGCAT